GGTTCCTCTTCAGGTTCTTTTTCTGATGCTGTCTTTGTTGATTGAGATGATTCAGACATTGTTAGCTCTTTTTCTTTAGCTATCTCGCTTTGTTTAGGAAGATATACTTTAGAATCTGTAAAGTATTTTGCTATGATTTCATTATTACATAATGGTGTATCTTTCAGCATTAATCCTATTTTTTTATGAAATTCTTCATCTGAAGATGTTAATCTGGCATCTGGATCTGATTTTTGAATGGCATGAAGTTGTATTGCAGGAATTCTTGATAGTGCGTCTGCATTCATGTTCAATGTTCCTTTTTTGTATTTGATCTCATAATCAAATTCAGATAGTTTTAGTCGCCATCTGACTAGTTTAGAACTTGGTTCTTTAACATTAAATAGCCATTGTAGAGGTTTGTGATCTGACAAGATTGTGAATTTTCTACCAAAAAGATAAGGTCGAAAATATTTTGTTGCCCATACGATTGCTAAAAGTTCTTTTTCAATCGTCGAATAATTACATTCAGCTAGGTTTAATTTTCTTGATGCGTATGCAATGGGAAGATCAGCTCCGACAGGACCTTGAGATAAAACGGCTCCAATTGCATAGTTTGAGGCATCGGTTGTCAATAAGAAAGGTTTCTTAAAGTCAGGATGTTGTAATATTGGGTCATTTATTAATAAATTTTTACAAGTTTCAAAGCTATTAAGAAATATTACATTGCGAATTATTTTTTTGTCTTTTTTCAAACAAGATGTCATTGGTTTGGTCAATTTGGCAAAATTCTTTATGAATTTTCGGTAATAACCTGCTAATCCTAAAAATGATTTTATTTCTTTCACCGTCTTTGGTATTGGGAATTTTTTTATTGCCATTATCTTTTTTGGATTCGGTTTTATTCCATTTGGTGTAATTACATGTCCTAAGAATTCGACAGTCTTGTGTAGGAATTCTGATTTGTCTAATTGTATATTTAAATTAAACTTCTCGAGTCTCTCAAATACTTTCTTTAAATTTTTCACGTGTTCATGAAGTGAAGTGGAAAAAATTATTATATCATCCATGTATACTAGACATATTCTATTCTGTAATCCTAGTAATACATTATCCATCACTCTCTGGAATGTCGCGGGGGCGTTTTTCAAACCAAAGGGCATTCTGTTAAATTCGTAATGACCATTTTCAACATTAAATGCTGTTTTGGGTATCGAATTTTCATGCATCTCGACTTGATGAAAGCCAGAGGCTAGATCTAGTGTCGTAAAATAATTACTACGATCAAGTCGGTCTAATATATCCGTAATATTAGGTAATGGATATCTATCATCAATAGTTTTTTCGTTTATCTTTCGATAATCAACGATCATTCTCCATTTTTGTATGCCTGCGGCATCTTTTTTCTTAGGTACTATTCATACAGGGGATGACCAAGGGCTACAGGATGGTCTGATTATGTTATCTTCTAACATTTTCTTTATTTGAAAATTTACTTCTTGTTTATGCACATGTGGGTATCTATACGTTTTCGTGTGCACTGGTATTTCATTTGTTGTTTTAATCTCATATTTGATTTGATTGGTAAATGTCAATTTTTCATTTGACTTGTGGAAAATTTTAAGAAAAGTGTTTTAAAGCATCAAATTCCTCTGAATTTAAATGATTAATACGCAGCGACTTAATAGGGTCATTTGCATATTCATCATTTTCTAATAAAGTCATTTGCTCTATATTAAATATGTCAAACTGTTCGTCAGCATAAGGCAAACTTATTTCCGCTAAGTTGTTTATGTTATACGGGACAATAATAGGCTTATTCATTAAGTTATGCACTTCTAGAGCTACTGTCTCGTTTATAACTGTGCCTATTGTCGAAGGAATATAATACGTTTCATTTTTTATCGGTGGTGTAAGTATTTCAATGCCATCAGCTATATTTGTATTGAAATAACATACTTGAATTGAGTTGCTTGGAATCTCAAAATTTTGATTTTCGAAATCTGTTCTATATTGAAACGGAATTGTTGTTTTATTATTAGAAAGAAGCATATTAGAAAAATCTATATTTAAATTATTTTCTTGTAATGCTTTGATTCCAATAATTCCATCAAAATAGTCATGGAAATTAGACATTATCATTTCAATGTTGTTTTGAATATTATATTCTTGTAAAATTGGGACATTGATTTTTCCATGTGTTTTTCTTGTACCCATGCAAGTAGTTAACTTGTTTCGTGTATTAATTATAGAATTTGAAAAATATTCTTCTGCGATTGAGGGTCTTCTTAAATAGGCATGACTTCCTGTGTCAATCAATAATTTACACGGTGGATAGTGTATTTGAATAAAGGGCAGTTGGTTGATTTGATAAGCATTTAAAGTTAATGCTGACTCATTGCATCCAAGGCTTGTAACTGAAAATTTTCGTCTTCAGTTGCGACTTGATTTTCTTCAAAATTTGTCTCTTCATAATAGTTTTGATTATTAGAACATTCGTCATTTTCGAAATTTTCGTCAGGGTCAGGCAATTCGATTTCAAAGATATAATTAATTTCTTCAATTGATGTATATTTGGAAGGGTATTGATGTTGATTTTGTGCTCTTGGTTGCACTGAAACTCCGGACATAGGTGTGGGTTTCGAAAATTGTTGATTAGTGTTTTTTCGAAAGGCATTATTGTAGTTTTTGCCAAAAGTTCCTGAACTAGTAGGAAATTTTGTTAGTACATAGTCCTTTTTAGGTTGTATATTAATAGGTTGGGATGGAAATTGTGGTTTCTGTGGTACATACGATGTTTTTTGTGTATATTGAGGTTTTTGTTGAGTATAGGTTTGTTGTGAACGAAATTGCGTATTTTTATTTTTGAAATTTGGAAAATTTTGATTTTGATTAGTAGAATGAGTAAGGCCTCTTCTAAATTTCATGTGGTTTTTAGCTAGTTGATAATTTAACACAAATTTGTTAGCTGCATCCACCGTTTGTGGATTTTGAACCATTAAAATTGTTTTTAATTCGGTTGGCGAATTAGTGACTAGATTTTGAATAGCAATAATTTCGTTTTGTTCAATCAAGACATTTGCAACTTGGTACCATTAAATTTGGGTCGCACATGATTTTAGATGTAATTCTTTGAACTAAACCTTTTAGTTTATCCAAATACTCAATAATAGTTTCTTTATTAGTTTTTGTGGTATACATAAGCTCTTGTACCAAATTCTGTCTAGAATATTGATCACTCATTGTTACGGTTGGTCTTTGATTTTGGTTGTTACTTCTCGAATTAGAATTGTAAAGATGAGTCAAAAGATTCTCGATTTCTTCTTCAGAATTTGACATATATATTTCTTTGAATTATTAGAAGAAATTATTTTGAAAATTCAAAATTAAAAAGTTTTAGTTCTATTTTAAAATTAAAATTATAATTAATTAATCAAAAGTATTTGTTGTCGTGGGTTCGTAAATTCGTTGTTACTCTTTATTTTTTGATTTCAGTCTTTTCAGCAAACCGTTTTGGAATTGCAAAAGAACAAAAATCTGAATTTAAGTCTTCTCAGTAAGTAAATCAAAAATTAGAAATTACAAAAGATCAAAAATCCAAAAATCTTAACAATGGAACACCAATTACAAAATGTATAAAGAGAAAGGATGTACTTAATTTCTATCACGTATCGGCTGATCTAAAATTATTTTCTGCAAAAGTTAGATAAATAAAGCTTAAACCGAGGCTTAAACAGTTCAAATTTGTTTGTGAAAACAGGAAAATAATTGCACTTTTTGCTATTTTGGCACCGCCGGCTGTTAAAATTATTTATCTGCAAAGAAGTCAATTTGTCTGAAATAATCTCGAAAAAAAAACTACATTAGAGTTGGCTAGCGGCCACAATACTCCTCTCATAATACAGAACCGTAATAAAGACAATTCGTATCCAAATTCTAACTTATATTAGATTATTAATCTGCCGAAAAAGTGGTTCAAACTTGAACCTAAATGTAAATAGATATGTACTTAGATAAACTATTCACAAATAGGTAATGATAAATTATTAATATATTATGCAACTCTATATTATCTAGATGTGATTACAACCAAAAACTCATGCACGTAATACCTGTCATTCTACGTTTTTGTTAACATTTCTTATTTTTCTTGAGCACAAAGGAACCAGATGGAAAAATTGAATTTATGCTAATTTATAAAAAAAGTAAAAGAATCCCATAAATTAAATCAGCACCATCTAGATCTAAATTATATTTTAAAATATATAATTATAAATAAGTTACGATGGTGAAATTCTTTTAGTTCAGACCTGGCACTGCGGTTATATTATTAGGTATTAGTTTCTAATACATGACTCCAAAAATAGATACTGGATAAAGTGCGGCAGAGCGTATTAACAAACGATCCAGTGCTAATCGGCATTACTCAATTATTATTACGGACATAAAATTGATCATTTTATCTCTTCTTTCTAATTTTAGTTTAGATATCTTCTTCTTTTTTCCTGTTAATTTTATTATTCCAGCTGCTTTGTATAAATTAAGGTTAGTTACATGTTGGCTCTGTAGTAACTCAACTTGTCCGTGTCTTATTTCTACATATCCTTGTCTATATTCATCAGTAATGTCCCGTGTGTTTTTTTTTGGTTTCAAAGTATTCATACCAAATTAATTTTTCAACAATTTGACAAATAATTTTGTTGTTTAGGTTTATTTTATGTAACACATATTAGAAAAATGATATCCGTTATCCCGGCCTCGATTCTACTAAAATAATAAAATGTTTTAATGTATGTAGGTACCGATGTAATGTTATTGATAATTCAAGATGCTTTAAACCTCTTTAAAATCTGTCAACTCTAGAATATGGCATTAAGGATCATACAAAAGCATCGTCAAATGTAGCTTTTTAAACCAATTAAAAATCCGTAATAAAAAAAAGTTCACGTTGACCTACGTTTGAAAAATATATCAAACTATGTAATATTACTTTGGCATTGATTTACTTTTATTCTCCTTAGGCCGTGGAACGAACAACGCGGATTCCAACGATGGCTCAAACAAATTCAAAGACCCGCTTCAACTTGTTATGAACCCGGCTGGAAAAATCCAGGACATTAATACTCTGAAAAAACAAGGCTACAGCTTTGAAACCGCCTTATCTCCGGAAGCTTGTTTGGAAATAGTCAAAGGGCTTAATTCTCCCAAAGGAAAAGGTAGCGTTAGAGGCCTAGTTTTTTTGAGACTTTAAATTCAACTTTCAACACTATACACAAAATCTGAAGCATATTAAGCTCCCCTATCCTAGTAATTTTGAAAAGTATACAATTTCAGGGGCTGAATTATTCGCTAAACGACGCAAACGATCGGAAAAGTGGGTGGTAGCAGAAACCAATGGTACCAGACCGCCGTCTACCATACCAGATGTTTTATTAGCTACATCCCCTACACCAACATTACCGCCGCTTACACCCACCGGAAATATACCGCCATCGAGTTATTTACCGGAAACCCAGCAGCGATTGGCTCACAAGGAAAAACTTGACGAGATACAGGTAATGTTTGTTTAAATATTTTCAGCTTTCGATAAATCTGACAAGTATTTTGTTTTTCCAGGAAAAGTTTACTCGTCCTCGTATCAAATTAATAAAATCACCTTGGGACGCAGCTTTGGAAACCGGTTCGGTAGAGGCTGCTTTCCAGGAAGAACCAACTTGGCCTACGAAAGGCAATTTCGTAGCACCAGCTGTCAATTCGTACGAAGAAGCTATTAAAAGCGACAATCTGGCTTCGTGGACTATACCTAAGTCAAATGGGTAAGTCAATCAAGAATAGAAGAAATGGGTTTTCCTATTTATAGTTTAAGATGCCAAATTCTTCACCGAAAGTATATTCTGAAATGCACATTATTTAACAATCCCAACATGGCCATGGTAGAGATTCACAACTCCACTGTTTCGATTATTGAATATTTCATCAACTATACTGTCACTGCTACTCCTAGTAAACCCACTAGACCCCATTGGCTATCAATAAGTGTATCCTTCCCTATCATTGATTCCCTATGATGTTTCTGATTATACTCTATACTCTAGCAACGACTAAATTTATTTTAAAAGTTGATATTTTTTAAATTTTGATGCTTTCTTCATTATTCTTTGGACTGCACTTTAAAGCTACATTTATACAGCAAATAGAATAAAATAAAATAAATTAAAATAACAAATAAAAAATAAACATCAACCTCACCAATTATGTTTTTCGTTCAGTAAACCTTTGTGTTTAAAAACTATTTATTTTATCAAAAACTAATAAGTTACAACAAAAAATACTAGACTCTAATTGCTGCGGCAAAAGCCCGAAAACTAAAAAAATCGTGATTCTAATTGCTATAGTAAAAGCTAAAAACAGAAAAATGATCAGAAAGTTCTGCGAGGCTTATGCCTTAGTCATTATTATAATATGGTGGGATTTTACCGTAGCTTATCTTATTCTTAAGCTTATGCTTGACATTGGAAAAGGGAATTATTTGTATAATAATATGAGGATTTATAGTATGTATACTCCTCCCTCCTTGAGTGGTTGCAAATTGGGATTGATTAACAATGTTGGGCTATCTGACCAAACTGCACCTCAGTTTTCGTTATACTATTTTCCTTAAAAATATACAACTGTATACAACATCCTCTTTTAACTTAAAAGCACTTTTTAAAACTGAAAATTTGTATGGCTTAGAATACACATTTTCAAAAGTGACCAGTTTTAAAAAGCGCTTTTAAACTAAAAGAGGATGTTGCATACAGCTGATAGAATAATAATTGTTATAAAAATAGAACTTAATACTATGATTATATAGATTGACACATTATTGGTTTCAAAATGTAACTCTTTTAATGGGTCAGTCATGGTCGACTCTTCTTTTAGTCTTACAGTTTTGGTATTCTCTGGAAGTTCAGGAATGTCGATGATGGGTGGTAGGCGTTCTAGGTTGAAGTTCTCATGCGTGTCTTCCAAAAATGTTCGATTGTTAATTGTCATTGAACTCTCTTGGAAATTACGATTGGACTGGAAATTATTTCCATGTATTTCATCAATTGTTGATTCTTCGTATTGAATTTTCGTGAATGGGCATAATTGTTGTTCCCCAGATACAATATCGTGAACACAGGGTTCATCTTGTTTCAATAGTTCTATTTTGCGCAAATAAATGTCTCCAATATTTGAACATTTTTGTAGAGCATTGTAATACGGTCTATGGTGGGTAATAGGTAAGAATACTTAACACTAATTGTATAATTTTAGATGGGTATAAGAAATAGTTTATACAATATAAAAAGTTTAGGATTAATTATTATTGGTGTATATATAGTAAATATGATTAGTTCCTTTTGAATTATTACATGAGAGGACATTGTCTTATAGTATTTAACCTTGTCAAATGATATTTGTCGACTCGCGGGCATGTTTTTCAAGATCTTAATAGTTTTAAATGTAAAAATCATATCTTTCACCGTCATTTGCGTCTAATGTTCCATAAGCCATTTTTGTGCTGTACCCATGAAATTGAATAGTCCACGTTTGTTTCGTTTGTGTGAGGAATGTTTCACAAATTTCTTTAATACATTGATACGTGATTGGATCAATATTTACCATTTGGTTAGAGTTAAAGCATTGTTCAAATTCTTTGAAGGTATTTCGAGGGTTTTAATACTTTTTCCAATAAGGGTAGAATTAATGTAATAACATACAGTGTTATGTTGTATTGTGAGTGGTTCCTATAGAAATCGATAAAATAGGATTTCTTAGTGGTGTTGTTAACGTATAGGCGTTACTGGTAACTCCTATAATGAGGACGATTTGTGTGTCTGAAACAAAATGTTGTCGATTTAGCATTTGTTGTGAATGTTCAATAGATATTGAATAATTCAAATCGCCTTTAATTATTTGGAAAAGTGTATATCTTGCTACACTATGTATGCTGTTATTATAGTTCAAGATTGAAATTACCATTGGGTTATTTATAGGGTTGCCACCTCTCCGGGTTTCACCTGGAGTCTACGTGTTTTCACATATGATCTCCAGGCTCCGGATTACTAGGTGTTTTCTCCGGATAAAACCGCATTAAAAAAAAAAAACGCATTTAACAAAAAACAACGTAAAATATATCTTATGTCCAGGAAAAAAAATAAGATTTAGCAACAGCGCAATACCTTTCACTGGTACTTTGGCGTGATGGGGGTTGAGATTTGATCTACAGAGGCCATATGCGGATAGGCTATCCTATGGTTGTCCTAGCTTATCTAGTTTGTAATATCCTTAGATCTCCCTTTCCAACCGTCACAATTCCCAACCTGAAGCATCATCCGGTGATTCCGGGGGGACTTGTGTATAGATAGAGTGTACCTTATGCATCTGTTATCAGATTTGTAGGATTCTTGTTTCAGTTTCTTTTTTCAATAAGGGTTTTTTTTCTCTCCGGTTCAACTTACTTTCAAAGGTGGCATCCCTAGTCATTTATGTTTTTATTTGGGCTTGTAATTTTAAGCTTGTTAAACTTTGTCTCAAGGTAGCAATGACGCACCCAGGTTTTTTATTCGGGGGGGTTTTCATAATCATGAAGACTCGCCGCAGGCAGGCGCTGCCGTAGGCCGGGCGCCATAGGAAGAATTTTTTTTCGGGTGTCACGCCCAAAAACGTTTATTTTAGGCCTTCAAAAAATAATTTATTGTACCACATGCAGTCGATGGATCAAGTTCATGCTAAAATACAGGACTATAAACTCGACTATTGCTGAAACCTCTATTAAAGTAACCGCGACAAAAGGATGCCCACAGGGCGGAGTACTTTCACCACTCTTGTGGAATCTTGTCGGGGATGAACTTTTGAGGAAACTAAACGATCAAGGCTACATCACCCTAGGCTACGCGGATGACATAGTCGTTGTCATTAGGGGAGGATTTAATAGGACGGTATCAAACCTCATGCAGGACGCTTTAGGAATCATTGAGGAATGGTGCACGAATGAGCAACTTCGCGTCAACCCCTCCAAAACAAAACTCATTCCTTTCACGAGAAAAAGAAATCTGGAGAACTTATTCGCTCCCAGTCTATCCCAAAAAACCTTGGGCTTTAGGGAAGTTAAATTTTTAGGCGTTATCCTAAATATGAAGCTGACATGGAACCAACACATCCAAAAGATAACCACCAAAAGCAAGATCTAACGTCATCTTGTTGTCACTAAAAAGAGCGGTTGGGAAAACATGGAGACTAAAACCGTCAGTTTTACAATGGATATACACTACGGTTGTAAGACCAATGATAACATATGGTGCACTTGTATGGTGGTCTAAAGTAAACCAAAAACAAGCAAACCTGCAGCTAGCCAAAATCCAGAGACTTGCGTGTCTTTGTATTACCGGTGCACATAGAAGCTGACGGCAAGTATGTCAATCTCTGGGAGAATATACTACTGTATTCCAAACAGAAATATATGCCATCGACTCCTGTCTGGGAGAAAACCTGAGGAGGGGATACACAGGTAAAAACATCCTTATCTGCTTGAACGGTCAAGCGTCAATCAATGCACTCAACAGCTTTGAAATAAAATCCAAACTTGTCTGAAAATTCTTGGAAAACCTCAAAAACCTAAGTATGGCCAACAAGGTAACCCTTAAATGGGTGCCAGGGCATAAAGGAATTGAAGGAAATGAAAAAGCAGATGCTCTAGCAAGAGAAGGATCGGAAACCAGTTATACTGGTCCTGAACCAGCAATTGGCACCACAAAATCATCGGTAAGAACAAAAATAAACCAATGGGTGTATAGACAACACAAAACCTACTGGCAGACTCTTCCGAAGCTCAGACACAGTAAGCTAATGGTATACAACAACAATCACCTAAACTTACTGAAGAAATCCTACAAACCAAACAGGAATCACATCAGGCTAATAACTGGACCCTGTAGCCTGAGAAAACACCTTCACACAATGGGCATCCTTCAAGAACCCATAAGCAGACTTTGTGAGTTGTGACGAGAAAGATAAAACCGCCACCCACATAGTCTTTGATTCTTTGAATGTGAGGCTTTACGCTGGTGGAGATATAGACAGATAGCGCCAGAAGACCCTATCTCTAAACTCACCAAAAGTAACACGGTGAAGAGGCTCCTAAACCTAAACTTTTTACTGACTAAACAGACGAACAGGACATTACAATAAGTCGACGGCTGCAGTGTTGGGGCCACCTAACCTGGCCTGTTTATTCTGCATCCCAACCACCTAAATCAACTCGCTGTCGGAGGCAAAATCTTTTAGGTCTTGCCATATATGTAAAATAGAAAGTTTGTAGGTACCTATTAACCAAAATCGCAAAAACAATATTTTTACCGGAAAATTCTTTGTACCAGTGCTAAATTTCGGGGGGGGGGGTTCAACCCCCAAATTCCTTCCCCTTGGGTGCGCCACTGCAAGGTAGAATGTAATCTCTCAATGGGGCTGTTCGAATTGGGATTTCGAATTTATGTAGAGTACATAAGTCTGTTATGTTATAATTGCTTTCTCAAATTCAGTTCCGTTATCAAAAGTCATTCTTCATGGAATTACGTGGTCACTGAAATATCTTATAAGTTGTGATGCAATCTCAAATGATGTTTTGCTAATAATTGGGATAACTTGTAGAAACTTCTAAAAGCTGTCAATAAGTGTTAGGAATTTTTGATTCGAAACAACGTATGTATAGATGTAAAGGTGTTCAAAGGGTTTTGAACCAATTGGAGATGGTTTGAATATTATTTTGTAGGGTTGCTTTCCATATTTCGTCTTATTACATATTTCACATGTTTTAACATATGCTTGTACGTCTGCCAATAACATCGTTTATAAAAGCTGAAACATTTTCTGTTACTCTGCGATGGGATGTTTTAGTCTCATGGTACTTACAGTCTAATTGTTTCTTGCTGTTCATCAGCTCCTGTTATGTCTTGAACAAAAGAATTGGAAATACATAACTTAAACGAATTCGAATTGAATGATATACTTAGAACTCTCAGTATTATAATAATAATAATAGGTTCTAACGGTTTGTCGTGAAAATAAATACAATACGTAGGTATCTGGTGGAAGATATTTCTTCATTAATTTGATAATTTGATCCTCTAATGGGTCATTAGGTGAAAAGAATGTTATTCTGTTAGGAAATGGTATAATACTTTCTTTGCGAATAGCATTATTTTTAGAATATCTAAAAATTATTTGATTAACAAAAAGATTCACATGTTTCTTTGTATAATGGACTCCTAGTTTAGGGTTTTCGAGAGATGTGTGAATAGTTCGGTCATCTTCGATTACTTCATTCTCAATTGTATCTTTTTCAATTATGTCTTTTTCAATTGTATTTTTCTTCAATTTTTCTGGAGGTATAATTACTTGAGACAAGTTTTTGAACTTGGACTTTGTGGTGAATCTGCTGTACAAGTAGATTCGGACAATGGAAAATGGAACATCTTTATGTTCATCAGTTATTTTAATTTCTTTACCTTTATTAATAAGTTCATTTGCTTGTGGTTGAAGTTTAAAAATTTCAGTATATTATTTGAAATATTTTTCAATTATCTCGTTATTATTAAATGGTGTGTCATTTAATATTGCTCCTAAAGTTTTATGGAACTTTTCATGGGAATCTGATTCAGTACTGGAATCTAATCTGGAAATAGCATTTATCTGTAAAAGAGGTCTTGATAATGCGTCTGCATTCATATCAAGAGTTCCTTTCTTGTATTTGATTCCGTAATCATATTCTGCTAGTTTTAGGTAATCTCCATCGGAATCATTTAGATCCGGTTTCTTTAACAGAGAATAACCATTGAAGTGGTTTATGGTCAGAAAAAATTGTAAATTTCTGTCCAAATAAGTATGGTCTAAAGTATTTACTATGGCTAGTAATTCTTTCTCAATTCTGGAATAATTACATTCCGCAGGATTTGATGTACAGCTTGCGTGAGCAATTGGTAAATCTGAGCCTACTGGTGCTTGTGACAATACAGTGCCAATAGTATAATTTGATGCGTCTGTAGTCAATAAGAATGTAGTATAGGATCATTGATTAATAAGTTTTTAAAAGTTTCAAAACTTTTTAAAAATTTAGAATCGTGAATTACTTTTTTATCCTTTTTAAAACACATCATCATTGATTTTGTTATTTTAGCGAAGTTTTTTATGAACTTGCGATAATATCCTATCAATCCTGGAAATTATTTAATTTCTTTTACGGTTTTTGGGATTGGAATTTTTTTTATTGCATCAATTTTCTTTGGGTTTGGTGTAATACCATTTGGGGTTATTACATGTCCCCAGAATTCTATTGATTTCTTCAAGCATTCGTATTTGTCTAATTGGATTTCAAGATTGAATTGTTCTAATCTTTCGAATATCTTTTTAAGATTTGCAATATGTTTTTGAAGAGAAGTGGAAAATATAATCATATCATCCATGTAAACTAGACATATTATGTTTTCTAGACCTATTAATATGTTGTCCATTACTCTTTGAAATGTTGCTGGGGTATTCTTTAATGCAAAGGGCGGGCATACGAGTAAATTCATAATGTCCATTTTCTACATTGAAAGCTGTTTTACTTATCGAGTTTGGATGGATAAGTCTAGAGTAGTAAAATAATTACTTCTTTCAAGTTTATCTTATTTTATTTAATTTTATGTGAAAATACCGAAAATTGATGGGCGCATGGTTCGGTGTATAAATTTTTCGTCAGCTGTTGAAAAATGCGAATGTGAAATGTTTTGAAATCCAGTTGGATGGGCGCATGTGCAAAACATATATTTCTATTGGTCGAAAATTATTTCTTATTTTATTTGCTGTATAAATCCAGCTTTAGTCTCAGTATGAAAAGCCTCTCTTGAAATACTTATTAAGATCTATAGGCTCATAAAATTTTCGTGTGCTAAGATCGTGTGTTCTATTCCATCGAAAGAAATTCCTGGATATCTACTAATTCGTGTTGATATTAACTCACCATCCATCAGGTGATCTTCAAAATTGACTGACAAACTTTAGTTTATAAAACTTAAACCGATTTTACGGATTTAATTTTTAAAAAACATCACAATACTTAGGTACATCTGCTTTTTTTATTTGCTTCCCAGGTACAATGAGCAGAAAACCTTTGCTCATAATCCAGCCTACAATAGCCAAAGCATTAACAGAATAGTGGAAAACTTGCAATCGGGCAACAATGGCGTGGACGTCTACAAACCGGCCCTACCCCAAGCTTGGAACTCTGGACCAGCTAGAAAACAACAATACAGTAAGCAATTTCCGCTAAAATATGCTTTTATGCTGATTGAAAAAAATTTATTTCGCTTATAGGTAGCATTAACGCCGCTTTAACTAATATCTTTACCAGCAAAGAAGAAAAACCCTCAATATCCTCCTTCCCAAACATCCCGGATATTACCCAGAACCCCCAACTCGTAACTATTCCCTCTTCAAAAAATGAAATAGAAATCAAAGAAAATCACACAAAAAGTGCTTCACCATTCCCAAATATTCCGGATATAACCTTGAATCAAAAATTAATCGACCAAGATCTCCAGTTGTTCCAACAAGGGAATCTAGACTATACTTCAAAGCCTTCTTCGCCATTTCCTGATGTACCAGATATCACTTTAAATCCGGAACTGATTGAACAAGACGTGGTTCTACTTAGAACCAGCCCTATACCCTTTAAAGGCGAGTCTTCTAGTCATGAGGATAGTTGGGCAGATGATGACTTGCCCCCGCCACCACCGGAATTCATGACTCCAGCACCATTACCTATTATTCCAGACATATCCAAGTATTTGGCTAATGAGTTTAAGCTGTTCAAACCCGTAGCTACCAAACCGAATACTGTGGAACAAACAGGCGCAATTAAAGAACGCGAATTCGGATTTGCTCTGCCAATGAGCAATAATATCAATAGCTGGGATTCCAGGACAATTCAGTCAGAGCTATTTGAGAGTCAAGGCCATTTTAGTGCCCACAAGCCTCCTATGATGGATATTTTTGTCCCGGAAGAGAATATCATGGAATCGAATGGTGATTCAGCAAAAACCAAAAACGATGAAGCGAAAACAAAAGACAACCAAAGGAAAATTATTATAGAAAAACACAATGTGGAACCGAAAAAGCCTGAAACTGAACAATTGGCCAGAAAAATCGCTGTGGAAAGCGATAAACGCAAAGCCGAGGTGATGGTTTACCAGCAAGGATGCTTTTCTGAGTTGAAACACATTCAAAAAGTTTACGATTTGGTGGATAATTATGCCATTAAAGGCATGCATGGGGTGGATATTGAATATAGAGATTCTACAGTAGAAATGGAGGAAAAAGAAAATGAGGCTCTGGATATTTTGAGGCAGATGAAAGAAGCTAGAAATGGAGTTCCTCCAGACGATGATGAAGATATTAAAGAAAATGATGAAAATTTTAAGGAACACGATGCAAATAGTCATAATAATGAATTCGAAAGGATAAATGAAGCTGTTAACGTAAAAAGTGAAGCTATTAACGTAAGAAGTGAAGCTATTAACGTAAAAAGTGAAACCATTGAAGTAAAAACTGAAGCTACTGAAATCAAAGCTGAAGCTAATGATGTAAAGAGTGATGCTGGTGGCAAAAAAGAAACCTCTCCAAAAGCTTCAGGTGTTGATCTCCAAACAACTGGTGGAAAAAATACAAATTCAATGAAACCTTTAAAAACGTTGACTCCCCAAGAAAACTTGGACAAAATTACTTTCGATATCGATCCTAAAATATGCAAAAAGCCTCCTGGCGCAATCATAGGAGCAAAGCCACTGTTTGGAGAGCTCAACATCAATGACGAGTTTAAAAAAGCTCTCGTTGGCAGGAAAAAGTCGCTCCAAGATCGACGTTATCAGCAAAGTACCATAAAAGAACCGAATAAGATTTCATTTGAGCAAGGGTCGCTGGAAACTACTGAAGAAACAAGCGATAATACAGATTTTCGGAGTTGCTTGAAGACAAACGAAAGAGCGGAAGTGGAAATTTTAAGACCTAGCGCCAACGAAGAGGTTGAGAAGATTTTCTACGAACAAAACAGGGAATTTGATGTAGATTTTCAGGTTGTTCAAGAAGAAATTATCGACCCCGTATCCAATCGGGTGTATTATCCACCAGCGAAATTGAATTATAACTTATTGCATGATCAACTTAATAATGCTCAAGTGCCAGTGCAACTAGAACAGGTTGGGCAATTCATGTCGCCGCTTCAAACGCAGCAGTCACAATTCACAACAAATCAACAATCGCCCCTCCAACCTGGTTACTTTGAGGGTGACCAGGAAGACTACGTCAAAGTCCCAGTAAAATCCCTAATACAAAGTTTCGAGCATGCAATAATGCCCCAATTACAGTACAAACAAATAAGAGACCCTTTACCAGATGTTGTTGAAAAACTGGCGACAAATAACCAAAATCAGCTTTTACGCCAAGCTGAACAGGATTTCGATAATCTATATTACGTCACTAGCGTGCAAAGCTCTCATTCCCAGCCCTTGCCTGATAATAGCAAGTTTTTTGCTTTACAACAGTCGGAGAATAGTTCGTTTTGTAAATATTCCTCCTCCGAGCTCGCAAAGGGACACTCCGATCAGTTGGTACAAGTTTCAGGACAACAGACAGAGCAGTTTCGAGGCAAGCTAGCTTATGAAATGTGCTGCATGTTTTTATTGATTTTGCATGAAATTTTAGGATTTAGTGTGCCCTAACTTTTTCCAGAAATGCATTTTTGCTTAAACTGAAATTAGTGTGTTCAAAAAAAAATCTATTCTCTACTGATACTGTTACGTATGTACAATGTTTCTGTTTTCGGTCTCATATAGTCTCATGATTCAACATATAAGCGCAACTAGACCCCAAACTTGAGGGGTGCTGCAGCACCATTTATTTTTTTTTTAATGGGGTTTGATAGAAAAGAAATGAGATGCGTAAAAAAAAAGTTAGTTTCACGAGGGTTTGTACTTACGTCATCATTTGCCTTTATTTTAAAAAAATAGGAAAGTCATAGAGCACCTTCGGAATTATTGTTTTGTAATACATTTTTTAACTTAGAATAGAGTTTATTCAGTTATCCGAAAATATATAAATGAATTTCTCCTGGAGTGATTTTTCACTGGAAAATTTTGAAATTTTCCTCTTATGAGCTCCTCACTTTTCTCTTTTTCCTGTGAAAATTTCGAAATTTTCCCTTTGCCAATTTTACAGAAAAAAATTGAAATGTAAGAGGATGAATTTTCCTTAATTAATTTTACCACCTTTAGTCAATTTTCTTTGATTTTTTCCTGGAGTGATTTTTCACTGCAAAATTTCGAAATTTTCCTATAATGAGCTCCTCACTTTTCTCTTTTTCCTGGAAAATGTTCAAAATTTTCCCTTGGCCAGTTTTTCAAAAAAAAAATTGAATGTGAAAGGGTGGATTTTCCTTAAATTTGCTTGAATAATTCAATTTTCCAGAATTTTTTCTGGAGTCATATTTAACTAGAAAATTTTGAAATTTTCTTACATAGAGTTCCTCACTTTCCTCTATCTTTTGAAAAAATTCCACAATTTTTGCTTTGCCAGTTTTCCAGAAAAAAAATGAAATGTGAAAGGATGAATTTTGCTTAAAAAAGTCAATTTTCCAGAACTTTCCTCTCAACTTTCCTTGGAGACTAGAAAATTTTGAAATTTTCCTATAATGAGTTCCTCATTTTCTTCTTTCATCTGGAAAAATTTCACAAGTTTTGCTTTGTTAGTTTTCCAGAAATAAATTGAAATGTGAGAGGATGAGTTTTTCCTAATTTTACTTGAAAAAGTCATTTTTTCAGAATTTTCCCTGGAGCGATTTTCCACTGGAAAATTTTGAAATTTTCTTATAATGAGCTCCTGACTTTCCTCTTTTTCCTTTTTTGCCAGTTTTCCAGAAAATAATTGAAATGTGGAGGATGAATTTTCCTCAATTTACTTGAAAAACTCAATTTTCCAGAATTTTGCCTCGAGTGATTTCTCACTGGAAAATTTCGAATTTTCCCTATAATGAGCTCCTCACTTTCCTCTTTTCCTGGAAAATTTTCAAAATTTTCCCTTTTGCTAGTTTTCCAGAAAAAAATTAAAATGTAAGAGGGTGAATTCTCCTTAATTTTACTTGAAAAAGTCAATTTTTCAGAATTTTTCCTGGAGTGATTATTCACTGGAATTTTTTTTAAATTTTCCTATAATGAGCTCCTCACTTTCCTTTTTCTTTTGGAGAAATTTCACAATTTTTGCTTTGCCAGTTTTCCAGAAAAAAATTGAAATGTGAAAGATAAATTTTGCTCAAAAAAGTCAATTTTCCAGAACTTTCCTTGAAGTGATTTTTCACTAGAAAATTTTGAAATTTTCCTATAATGAGCTCCTCATTTTCTTCTTTCTCCTGGAAAAATTTCACAAGTTTTGCTTTATTAGTTTTCCAGAAATAAATTGAGAATATGAGAGGATGAGTTTTTCTTAATTTTACTTGAAAAAGTCATTTTTTCAGAACTTTTCCTGGAGCGATTTTCCACTGGAAAATTTTGAAATTTTCTTATAATGAGCTCCTGACTTTTCTCTTTTTCCTCTTTTGCCAGTTTTCCAGATAATAATTGAAATGTGGAGGATGAATTTTCCTCAATTTTACTTGAAAAACTCAATTTTCCAGAATTTTGCCTCGAGTGATTTCTCACTGGAAAATTTCGAAATTTCCCTATAATGAGCTTTTCACTTTCCTCTTTTCCTGGAAAATTTTCAAAATTTTCCCTTTTGCTAGTTTTCCAGAAAAAAATTAAAATGTAAGAGGGTGAATTCTCCTTAATTTTACTTGAAAAAGTCAATTTTTCAGAATTTTTCCTGGAGTGATTTTTCACTGGAAAATTTTTGAAATTTTCCTATAATGAGCTCCTCACTTTCCTTTTTCTTTTGGAAAAATTTCACAATTTTTGATTTGCCAGTTTTCCAGAAAAAAATTGAAATGTGAAAGATAAATTTTGCTCAAAAAAGTCAATTTTCCAGAACTTTCCTCTCGAATTTCCTTGAAGTGATTTTTCACTAGAAAATTTTGAAATTTTCCTATAATGAGCTCCTCATTTTCTTCTTTCTCCTAGAAAAATTTCACAAGTTTTGCTTTATTAGTTTTCCAGAAATAAATTGAAAATATGAGAGGATGAGTTTTTCTTAATTTTACTTGAAAAAGTCAGTTTCAGAATTTTTCCTGGAGCGATTTTCCATTGGAAAATTTTGAAATTTTCTTATAATGAGCTCCTGACTTTCCTCTTTTTCCTCTTCTGCCAGTTCTCCAGAAAAAAATTGAAATGTGGAGGATGAATTTCCCTCAATTTTACTTGAAAAACTCAATTTTCCAGAATTTTGCCTGGAGTGATTTCTCACTGGGAAATTTCGAAATGTCCTTATAAGGAGCTCCTCACTTTCTTCTTTTTCCTGGAAAATTTTTAAAGTTTTCCCTCTGCCGATTTTCCGGAAAAAAATTAAAATGTAAGAGAGTGAATGTTCCTTAATTTTGCTTAAATAAGTCAATTTTCCAGAATTTTTTATGGAGTGATTTTTCATTGGAAAATTTTGAAATTTTGCTATGATGAGCTCTTTACTTATCTCTTTTTTCTGGAAAATTTTCACAATTTTCCTGTTGCCAGTTTCCCAGAAAAAAATTGAAATGTAAGAGGGTGAATTTTGCCTAAAAAAGTCAATTACCTAGAATTTTTCCTAGAGTGATTTTCCACTGGAAAATTTTGAAATTTTCCTATAATGAGCTCCTCACTTTTCTCTTTCTTCTGGAAAAATTTCAAAATTTTCCCTTTGCCAGTTTTCTAGAAAAAAATTAAAATGTAAGAGGGTGAATTCTCCTTAATTTTGCTTAATGAAGTTAGTTTTTCAAAATTTTTCCTGGAATGATTTTTCACCAGAAAATTTTGAAACTTTCGTAAAATGAGCTCTTCGTTTTCCTCTTATTCCTGGAAAATTTTCAAAATTTTCCCTTTGCCAGTTTTCTAGAAAAAAATTAAAATGTAAGAGGGTGAATTCTCCTTAGTTTTATTTGAAAAAGTCAATTTCTCAGAATTTTTCCTGGAGTGATTTTTCACTGTAAAATTTTAAAATTTTCCTATAATAAGCTCTCCACTTTCCTTTTTCTTTCGGAAAAATTTTACAATTTTTGCTTTGCCAGTTTTCCAGAAAAAACTTGAAATGTGAAAGGATGAATTTTGCTCAAAAAAGTCAATTTTCCAGAACTTTCCTCTCGAATTTCCGTGGAGTGATTTTTCACTGGAAAATTTTGAAATTCCCCTATAATGAGCTTCTCATTTTCTTCTTTCTTCTGGAAAAATTTCACAAGTTTTGCTTTATTAGTTTTTCAGAAAAAAACTGAAAATTTGAGAGCATGAGTTTTTCTTAATTTTACTTGAAAAAGTTATTTTTTCAGAATTTTTCCTGGAGCGATTGAAATTTTCTTATAATGAGCTTCTGACTTTCCTTTTTTTCCTCTTTTGCCAGTTTTCCAGAAAAAAATTGAAATATGAGAGGTAAATTTTCCTAAATTTTACTTGAAAAAGTCAATTTGCCAGAATTTTCCCTGGAGTGATTTTTCATTCGAAAATTTTAAAATTTTGCTAAAATGAGCTCTTTATTTTCCTCTTTTTCAACATACTTACCTGTGAACTAATTAGCTTAAATTTTTTCGTTGGCTCAGTATCTTTTGTATTGTTTGCGAATTTGTGATCCGTATAATTTTTTAAAATGTACTGTCCAGATTTCCTATATCATTTGATATCAAGTTGTTTTTTCCTGTATTGTAGTCTTTTTCCGCCCAATATAGTGGCCATAGAAAACACGATAAGGTAAATTTTAATTATCTTCTGTTTTATCTATAGGCTCTGCTACTCTACCAAGATCGCAACCAAAATCTCCTCAAGTACCCACCAACTACAAACCTCAGGCTCCACTACCTGTTTTCGTACCAAAAGAATCTACCTGCCCATTGCCCAGTCTCTACGCTCCAGCTTACAACGCCCACCAAACACAACCAGGATACCAACCACAGGCACCACCTAATTATTCTCCGACGCACACCTACGACGATTCACTGCTGTCCACCCCCTTGCCTTCTCAAAACCCTCAGAAGAAGATTAATTTTGATCATTTGCAAAATTATAATACAGCGGCCCGGGGGTGGGGACAATGCAGGGATGTTTACAGACCCATGACGTTTGAGAAGCCGAAGTCACCTTATTCGGATTTTTAGAGAGGCGGCATCAAAAACTCTAATAACTAAATAAGTGTTAAATATTTCTTTATTCACGTATTTTCAGTAAATCGCACTTTCTTTAAACAATGGTATCTAGTTATTTAGGGAAAATAGGTATTTCTTATCATACATGGATTGAGTTCTAAAGTAGGTGCGCTATACTTTATATTTTTGAGAAAGGCGAACTAAAATATTTGGAAGCACTTTGATGAAACTATAAGTAAACTAACATATTATAATGTATCATGGATGTTCAAACAAAAAAATGATGATGACTCTCTGAGACCTAGAGCAATAATTAATGATAATTACCCATGTCTATATTTTTTCTCTCCACTTGAAGACGAAACATTTATAAAATGAATTAGGATTAGTACAAAAACGGGCGATATGCTGAAATCATCTGGGCAGTGAACAGATACATTTCGGAAATGTATACAACGAAAAGCAACAGAATGTGAACTATGGAGACCAAAAATAAATTCAGGACGACTTATGTTGAGATAATTATGATGAATATCACAGAAAAATACCCAGAAGGAGAAAATGGGTAGGTGAATATAGCATGACAGTATAAATGGAAAAGCAATACCTATGTTCAATTATGGACAAAAAATATTGGATAAAGAGAAAGAAAGACTTCCAAAGAGCTTGTAGGTACAAATACCAAGAAAAAATACTGCCTCAGGTTGAGTAACGATTTGCTAACTACAACCACGGTGGTCATTTGTACTTACATGAAATATGTGTTCGAATTTTTTTTTTTGAACATCCATAGATAGGTACTTGGTAGAAAAACATTTGGCTTGATGATAGTAGTGTAGTCTTTATTCGTTCAAAAAATTAGGTTTGTAAGAATTGATTATTTATCAATGATTAATAATCCTATGATAGAATTATGTGTTGTGTATATCGCTCTCTTGCCTCGATTTCGTCCAATCCTTTACAAAGGATTGCCGTACAGAAAATATGTGGTTTATGCTATGAAGATCAAACTTTCTAATCATTATGTACATAAAAGTTTAATTATTATTTACTAACTTTTTGCCACAAATATATTGCTGAAGTATTTATTGTATGCCAACACAAAAGATCTGTTTGATCTTGGAACAACAAGCAACTAGCTATAAGGTAACTACCTATTTATTTCTGTTTTAAGAGATGATTTTTGTGAGCTATTCTGAGTGTTTCGCGTTTAGTTTTCGAATATTTTTTCTCGAGTTGACTTGTGTATAATCGTTTCTATGAATTGTTACTGTGTTTATTTATTTATTTATTAATAATATTATGTAATTGTTGTTTTGGTTATTCAAATAAAAAACAAATAAATGAAAGTTTTTGTTGGTTGCCATTCTAGAGGTTTCAATTGAATATTAATTTTAGGTATTGTTGTATAAGAGGCAAGCGAACACGCAAGTATTTCACAATAGTTATTTACATTACAAGTGCGTTTATGAGCATGATTACAATAACGAGTGTGAAAGATTAGAACGACGAGGTCATAGACCGAGTCGTTCATCTAATCACACAAGTTTTCTAGTCATGTTTCAACGCAAGTGTGATGTACAACGTTTTATCTACAAAGCAAAAAATAAGAATGTTTCTTCAATTATTTTCGTTTAGTTGTCTACCTTTACAGGTTTAACTTTGACATTTGTCAAATCACCGAATAAGTCGTGTTATGGATTCATAATCTAGTCCATAACACCACTAGTTGTGTAATGAATTCATAACCTAATCCATGACACCACTAGTTGTGTTATGAGTCTCATGACATAACTCAAATAAGTACTAGACAAATGGTTATGTAAAAACGTCATACTCATAACCAAACGCTTGTAGATAATAGTTATTTACATTACAAGTGCGTTTATGAACATGATTACAATAACGAGTGTGAAGAATTAGAACGACGAGGTCGTAGACCGAGTCGTTCTAATCACACGAGTTTTGTAGTCATGTTTAAACGCACGTGTGATGTACAACGTTTTATCTACAAAGCGAAAAATAAGAATATTTTTCCAATTATTTTTGTTCATTAATAGTTGCCTACCTTCATTTTACCTTTACAGGTTTACCTTTGACATTTGTCAAATCACCAAAAATAGTTGTGTTATAGACTCATAACCTCGTCCATAACACCACTAGTTGTGTTATGAATTCATAACCTAGCCTATAACACCACTAGTTGTGTTATGAGTCTCATAACGTAACTCAAATACTACAAAAATGGTTATGTAAAAACGTCATAACCAAACGCTTGTAGATAAATAAGTTTTATTTGAACTGCTTTTCAGAATTCTCCCGAAATACAAAATAAATTATTACCTTTGACCTTTTTGTATCTGGTCAAGCGAACAACTCTGTCACGGATTTTCACCAACCAATTTTATGTGGTGTTGCATGCACCTAAATATTGGATTTAGGTCACAAAATACAAGGCGTTGATCGTTGATGAAGAAATTATGTATTTGCTATATTTGAAAAAATATGGAAAAAACTGGAAAAAGAATCTAAATACCTTCATCGTCCATATAAAATATATAGACGATACTATCGAATCGTGGGTTCGGAATCCGGACCAAGAGCTAATATTCAAAATAACGTTTTAATAATTATAAAAAAATACACAGGGTGTCCCATTCAAAAAACATAACTGTGGGTTATATCTAAATAATGACACCTTATTTGAGCAATCCGACTACTCCAATGGATTTTACGTAAAAAATTATGTTTGCAGTTTTATTCTTGGTTTGCGGTATCGTGAGTTTCCCAAAAAAATAAGCCAACGTTCGCGAAAACCGCGATTCTCTATTTTCAACAACAATCGAGATATCCCAAAAGGACAACCAAAATGGGACGCCCTGTACAGTGAGGACATAAAATCTGTCAACCCCCCCTCTAACTTTTGAACCGCTCTGTAAATTACAAAGAAATTTGGCATGATGATATATGAGCAAATTCTCCATTCTTTGAAAAAGAAATGACAGCTTCAGTCAGCTTCAAAATGACAACTTTGCCCTTATTCTTGGGTTCCTGGGCGCAGTTTTGAAATATTTTTTCTAAATAGAAGGCGGAGTATATAGTGATATACAGGGTGGAAAATTAAAAAGGATCCACCTGGATTTTCTCGAAAATTATTAGAAAGGGTCGATTTTGTTTGCAAGGGGGACACTTTTTGGCTATTTCAAAATTTTCCTAGATTGCACCCCCTTACCGGGGTGAGTTGCAACCTCAAAAGTTGAATAGGGAAACTGGGTCGAGTGGTACCTTGTTTGAGAGGTATTTGAGATGACTTTACAGATCTGTCATTTTTACCGAAATCTGACTTCTAGTTTTCAAGATATTCGCCTCGGAAGTTGCCATGGGACGAAAAGAGAACGCGAAGAATATGATATTGGTCCGGTTAAATTTTCTTCTCATGAATAAACATTCATTTAACTCACTTGGTGAACCGTCATTAGGTAAGTATATTAAAATATTGTCAAAAATTATATTGAGGACGGAGAAAAACAGCCAACGATTGCCACAAATCAAGGATCATAAGCGCAAAGAGGATTCTCTATTATTGTCAAGCGCCGATACCCTTGTGACGTCACTACAGATGCGCGCTTCCATTTATTATACTATTATCATTGTGTTTTGTGATTATTTTTGTTATTTATACATTGTGTGTCCTGTGTTTTTTGAAGTGAAACTTCTTAGGCGGCGGTCTGATATTTGAACGAGAAAGGAGAGTGATTTGCAAGATGCGTCACGTTTTGGCAAATTTCGTTACACGTTACACGAGAGAGAAAAAAAATATAACGTAAAGGGTCGGAGAAAGACAGCCAATGACCATGACAGCCAACGAACTATCAGCTGCTTTTTTTCTACACACTATCGTATCTTAGCTAACTTTGAAAATCTTAGCTGAGCTAAGTTGTAGTTCAAACGTACACATTAGATGGGCGAAGGATCTGATCTAACCTTAAATGAACATAATCTCAGGTAAAGAAGTTGAGGTAATTTCGACCGACATAAACCCACCTAAGATGTTAGAAAACACGGTCTTTTATTCAGAACAACTTAGGTTAGCTAAGATAGGTGTATAAAAAAAAAAGCAGCTAGACTCAAACCAAGGATTATATGTGCTAGCAAATTGCCCTATTGCGAGCAAAAGCCAATGAACCCCAGAAAAGAAGAAGAACCAAGGATTATAACCTATTATTGATTGTCAAGCGCCGATACCCTTGTGACATCACTACAGATGCGCGTTTCCCTTCGTCTTTACCCTGATACGCTCATACGCTAAGTCTAAAAGTTGTATGAGGGGGGATATACTTTTTAAGGAGATTCATTTCTACCACGTGAACAGCGTAGCACGTTTTTTTTTATGACCAAAACAACTCCATGTTTTTTCGTCATCATTTGAAAACCGCTAAACCAAATATTTTCAGATTAAATTTGACAGGTTTAAATATATTCGACCAATAGAGAAAAATACGCAAAGCAGCTCAGGATAGCCTATCCTCATAAGGCCTGTGTGGAATAAATCTGAAGTCTCCCCACTGCGTTAAATCACCAGTTGTGACGTAGACAGCATGTAGTTTCTCGCCTTGATGTAGGCTGTTTGCACTATACATGATTCCGCAAACTTTTGCTTCAAGCATGCATACGGTTTTACTACATTAATTAACATTCTAAAACAACTCTTTGTCAGATCTCGTTTTCATATTCCTCTTTGCCTATTATGTTAACCAAAATTTAATCATAATTTTCTTCATAAATTCTAAACTTCTAAAATACGCAAAATAAAAATACGTAGGTACGCAATTTGCGGTTATGAGTACTAGGCAACCGAACTCGCCTTGTATAAGGAGTATTAGGCAATTTAATCCATCTGTCAAAAAGGGAAATTCAATATGGCGTGGCGGCCAAGCAAGTTTGTTTTGAATATGTTTTTATGTGTATTTTAAATTATTTTGCTTAGAGTCTTGCTTGTAACTTTGATTTTGATTATTTAATACGATATTTGTTGACTAGGTACCTAAACTATTAAATCGGGCAGAAACTAGATATTTTTTTTGTGTTTTTTGGCCCATGTGTGGCCGCCACGCCATCTTGAGTGTCACATGGTTTGAATTGCCTAATTGAGCCGTTTTCTCGCGTTCACTTTTTTGACATGGTTCAAAACAGTTTTGAATGGTGTGAAGGATGAATAGGATGATACACACGACTACTACAGTACAAAATGGTCTATCTTCATAAGGCCTGTGTGTAACAAATCCCCCCCACGCCAAACCAGTTGTGACGTGACAGAATGTCATTTCTTGCCTTGACGTAGGCTGTAAACAGCTTACGACTTAGTTATGACGTCGGAAATGGTATCACACCAATATGGCGGCGATTACCAAAAACGGGGCTGATAAGTACTCCTTATGCCCCATTCTCACTTGCGCGAAATTCGCGCGACATTGCATCGACAAATTGAAGTTTGATACACGCATAATGGCTAGTTGCACCAAAATTCTGTTAATCCAAGTTTAATAAAACTGAGATTCAAAAATAAACCCCGATCATTTGACCTGTCATTGCACGACACACAACTAAGCTCGGTTTGATTAAACTAGTAATTTATAGGATTATTTTCGTTTAGGTTGGCAAACGTGTTGAAAATTTGTCAAATGTGAAAGCAAAAATAGAAAATATAACCTGTCCTAGAAAGCGAATTATTTTTTGTGAGTCTTTCCGAAGTGAAGCAGTGGCCCCTTTGTATTTTGTAGTTTCTCTCTGCTACTTTGCTTTATTTGACAAAATGGATCCACTGTCTAGCACCAAGTAAAAAAGAGACTGATTTTCTCAATAGTTTTTTCTATTTTCCTATTTAGCAACGTTTCAAACATTCTACAGCTCTTGGACAAGAAGGCCCCACCCTGTTATATACTTCTGTACGTATTATTTTCTTCCAAGTGTTTTGTTTTTCATTGCTCGTAACCGCGCCTCTGAAGGACGGGATATTTGTTTCATCTACATATTTTATTTTGCACATAAATTTCGATCGAGATTGATTATTGGATTTAAAAATCAAATACCTATTAATAAATAATGAAATTCTCACAACACATGAACATATTCCGTAAACAACGACAGTCGGCATGTCATTACACTTTGCGAATTTCCTTTCTGCGCATTCAATTAGTAAAACTTCTCTTTAAACCATCAAAAATGACCGTTTAAGTTGAACCAAGTTCAAATCAAATTAAACTTTGTTCAAGAAATGGTGCAATGGATTTCTTTGGTTTAAACAAAGATTACTGTTAAACCAAGATCAGAAAGTGTTGGTGCAACTACCCATAAAACGTCAAATTGTCGAAGATATTCCCTCGTTTTTATTCTAATCGGTGATTTCACTGATGAGTTAGCTATCTTCGTTTAGTGAATGGAAAATGACAATGACCGACATAGAATGGTGGATCCATCGGTAAAATTTGATGAGAATAAGGGTGGATTTTCATGCATCCGTTTGTCCGGCGAAATATGTCCGAAAAATCTTCTATTTTGACATATTTTTATACGACTATGTCAGAATAGAATGTTTTTCGGACATCTTTCGTCGGACAAACGGATGCATGAGAATCCACCCTAAAAACGCAGGGAATGTCAAAAAATGAGGCATTAGGGCGAATTCTCATGAGCGTAAGTTGACATTTCTGGCGTAATCACGTGATAATATGATGTAATTTAATTGGTAAAATATCCAACATGTCAAATATTTTGCCAATAAAACCCAACCATTTTATCACGTGATTACGCCAGAAATGTCAACTTACGCTCATAAGAATTCGCCCTTAGGGAGGATTTTCATGCATCCGTTTTTCCGTCGAAATATGTCCGTTTAACATTCTATTCTGACATAATCGTATATAAATATGTCAAAATAGAAGACTTTTCGGACATATTTCGACGGAAAAACGGATGCATGAAAATCCTCCCTTAGGGGGAATTCTCATGAGCGTAAGTTGACATTTCTGGCGTAATCACGTGATAATATGGTGTAATTTGATTGGTAAAATCTCCAACATGTCAAATATTTTTCCAATAAAACCCAACCATTTTATCACGTGATTACGCCAGATATGTCAACTTACGCTCATGAGAATTCGCCCGTAGAGTGTGTTTTCTCCCTGGATTGCAACAGCCGATCACCAGCTGTTTGTTATTTATCTTTTTTAATGAACACGATTAAAAAAAGACAATGTACATCAGCCTTCACCCCCGCGCCAAAATACCAGTTATGACGTAACAGCATGTTATTTCTCGCCTTGACGTAGGCTGTTTAAACAACTGACGACTTGGTTATGACGTCGGAGAAAGCAGCTCAGGATAGCCTATCCTCATAAGGCCTGTGTGGAATAAATCTGAAGTCTCCCCACTGCGCCAAATCACCAGTTGTGACGTAGACAGCATGTAGTTTCTCGCCTTGACGTAGGCTGTTTGCACTATACTTTATGATTCCGCAAACTTTTGCTTGAAGCATGCATACGGTTTTACTACATTAATTAACATTCTAAAACAACTCTTTGTCAGATCTCGTTTTCATATTCCTCTTTGCCTATTATGATAACCAAAATTTAATCATAATTTTCTTCATAAATTCTAAACTACGACCGCTAGTGCAAACAGCTGAGGATTAGTTATGACGTCGGAAATGGTTACACACCAGTAAGGCGGCGATTACCAAAAACAAGGCCGATAAGCACTTCTTAGAGTGTGTATTCTCCTTGCAATGGTGTTACTATTGCCCGTTTGAAACCTGTTTTGAAAAAAGTGGACACGAGAAAACGGCTCTAGTTCAAAGTAAATTCTTCAAAAATGCAGCTATTGTAAGGTCAGTGCAGTTATTGCAATGTCAGGGCAGGATCAAGGATCAGTCAGTGCAGCTAGTGCAGAGTTAGTGTAGGGAGTTAAACAACGCGAAGCAGCTAGTATAAAGTTGGAGCATCTAGTGCAGAATTAGTTAAATTTATCAAACGATCCTGGTGCAGAGTCAGAGTTAGTTTAAATTTATCACACGAACAAGACGTCTACCGAGATTTTTCCCATTCTACCGATTCAATTTTACGGTGAATCTTGGAAAGTGCCAATGTTTAGGTTTGGGACAGTTGTTGGGTTATGTAGTTGTTTTGTTTACCTGTTTTGTTTTGGTTTTCAAGTGACTTGCATTTCTGACTTTAGGTTTTTGTTTTTTCCTAAACCAAAAGTGCCAAAGTAATAAATTATTTTAAAAAAAGAAAGAATGGCGCAGAAGACAATATACGAGTCTGCCCATAAAGGCGATTACGATTTTATAGTAAGGAAATTAGAAGAAGATCCAAGTTTACTTACAGCGAAAGACTCGGTAAGTAAAAGTAGGCATTCATTTTTACTGTGTAGTTATTCAAGCTTCCAAGAAATAAGTTGCTAGAAATTGTCAAAAAACTAAGCTATAAGAGGATGCCTCATTAGTTTTAATGTACCTCCACTCTCCACTACACTAGTCCAATTCCCAGGTTAACTGGAATCGACCAGAAACTTGTAGCTCTACTGGAAATTTTATTTACAGAACCAAAGAATCCTGCTACACTGGGCTAGCATTGGAGGCAATCTTAAATTAGTTACCTACCTAATAGAACTGGGTTCTCCTATTGATCCACTAGACGACACTGAAACTACCCCATTGATTTTGGCCAGTTCTGCGGGTCACGAACAAGTAGTTTCTTTGCTTATCGATAAAGGCGCCAAAATTGATCAGCAGTCCACCAATGGACATTCAGCTTTACAGTATGCAGCTTCAAAGGGATGGGCCACGGTAATCATAATCATTTATTCATCATATCAATAATAGAAAAGAAATGTAACACAATATATTATCCATTTACAATCCGATGTCCACAGGTACAGGTAAAATGTATCACCTTTCAATGCTATTTGATAGGGAAAGGTGATAAATTTACCTGTACCTGTAAACATAGGATTATGAATAGGATATACCAACAAATTCATTGAAATGCAATGCAAGGGCACCAATTACTTCAAAAATTTTCTTTTTTGGCCCAAAAAGGTATAAAAAGACATTTTTATGTAGCTATTAAAAATGCTAAAAAGGGTTTTCCTCCAAGGAAAATTGTGCTCCTCAATATGAAACCAGGGGGTTGGGCATGTAGGTTTAAGTGATGTTGGGACGCTAAATTAATTACAATAGAGAGGAACTTTCTTTTAAAAAAATAATTTACCTACAACATCTTAGTTAGAAATGGTAAACTTGGCATTGCAAATACCACCATTGAATCTGGCATTCCCAAAAACCCCCAGGTATTATCTATTCACAATCTGATGTCCAAAGGTAAAGGTAAAATTTATCACCTTTCAGTGCTATTTGATGGGAAAAGCGAGGGGTGTCTCATGCTGTTAAATTTTGTAGACCTAAGTATTTCCTTTTTGGAAATGTTTTTCTGATATTGCCCATAATTTCCAAAATTTCCTGAATAAGTATTTGGAATTTTTATAAGTATTTCCTATAATTTTTAAAATTTCTTGAATAATTTATGTACTTAACTTCCTGAATAATTTCCTGAATTCCCTAAATAATTACCAGTTTCTTATAAGATTTCTGACATTTCTGAAACAAAAATTGATAATTTTCAAAATTTCTGAGAGATTTTTACCTAATTTCTCCTCAAAATTTCTGAACATCTTTACAATATTCACTGTAGTTTTCTAGAAATGATATTTTTTTTTTGATTTGCTGAAAAATATAAGTTCATGGTGGTGACAAAAGTTGGTTGTTGGTTTGTCCTCGAGTTTGTCACTCTTCACCTTCAACTGTTTTACTCTTCAATTGTAAATCTAGAGGGCATCAAATGGATTTGAAATAGTATTATCTCTAATCAAATTGTACATGATAAAATCTATACTCAATTCCATATTTGAAGCCCCAATAAATGATTTTGCAAAGTTTGGAGTGACCGTGGAAGCGTTTGGAAAAACAGTTGAAAACTATATTTTTCTATGACCCTTGACCATAATTCAATATTTTACAGCAAAAATTTAGTTTTTATTAATATTGTACGAACCTGAATTTGAGGGTATAGGTGAAGCAAGATGTTTATAAAGGTAGAAAATACATTATATTTCCAACAAATACAGAAAACAACTTAAAATTTAAACACAGGAAAAAACATAAGTATTTTAGTGTTTGTAGCGATACTCGCCTTAACATGTTTTCAATTTTGCGTGTCAAATTCAAATTCAAAAAGTAAAAATCCTGATATACATGTACCTACTGTGATACTTCTATCAAGGGGTAAACCATCTCCCCAGAATTTGTGTAAACAATTCCTCAAAGGGGAATTTTCTACGCAAAATTTCCCAAAATTCCTCCAAATTCCTCTAAGTTCCCTGCAAATTCTCACAAATTCTTGCAAACTCCTATCAGATTCTCCACAAATGCCTCTTACAAATTTCCTGAAAATCCTCATAATTGCTCATGATAAGTTAATTTTTTTAAATTTTTATTTTGCTTAGGCTTGGTTTATTCATCTTCGGATAAACTTGCTGGCAAGCTTGCTGGTAACTATCTATAAGATAAATTTACCGATTTCATAATCCCATTGGTCAAGGAATAACTGGCCAACCAATGGGATTACTAATTGCGTTTTATCCGTCAGATTAAATCAGCCCTTAGTGTTAAAACACAAGAGCAGTTTGTCAAGTATGATCAAATGCAGGGTTAGGTTAGTTGACTTTAGAGCTAAAACTAATGATTGGTTTCCGATAATACAGGGGTTTAAACCGAGGTTTAGACTATCCTAAACCTGCATTTGATACTATTATCTAATCCTTGACGCATTTCATCCTTGTTAGGACTCATCAGAAGGACATAGGCTGAAGCTCCCTGTCCAAGCAACAAGGACGAAACGCGTCAAGGATTGGCACGGGAAGCCTGAGTCCACTGCTCAGTGGGTCGATTCCCAAACAGGGACCGTTGTGTCCCTGAATTCACGTTGGTCATTACCTGTAAAAGCTTTCTAACAATTTTCATTGCCAACGAAAGCTCAGACCAATCAGTGTAGTTCAACGCCGGTAGGGGTATTTGCCCTCGGAGTAGTTGTTTCTGACTGGTCAACGAAGTTAAATAATAAATGTTCACTTTTATTATGTTTTTTCTCGTGTTTTTCTCGGTGTTTTCCAATTATGTACCATATTAAAATGATCTACTGAAATTATCTAATCTCCATTCTCTTATGACCAATAATTTTTTTCTCAGTAGGCGATTTTCTAATTTGGCTCCGATATGAAAAGTATCTTAAATGTAGCATTCAAATCCATTTAAGTCTAAGTGTATCCAATTCCAGAAGGTTTTTCCTTGACAGTTGTTAAAATTTTCAAACATTTCCGTGATATTAAACTGATTATTCTTTTAAATTTGGACCTGTAAATCATAAAGTGAAATTTTGGGAGAATTTCTTTGATAAAAATGAATGTCCAACGTCCAACACAAAACTAGCTTTTCAAAAAAATTCCAATCATTAGGGCTTCTTATAATAAGAATGTGAATCTCAATGACATCATGACCCAACAATTTCCTTTAAATTCCTCCGAAATTCCTGCAAACTTACTGAAAATTTCTCCAAATTTCCCATAAATTTCTTCGAATTCCCTATACTTGAATTCCCCACATATTTGGCAAAGAATTCCAAGGTGGTTTGCCCCTTGGAAAATACAGTCTCACACAATTCAAAGTTTTCCTGAAAAACTAATTGAGAAAAAATGTTGAAACTTTATGCATGTAAAGAAGAAGGTTAGGAGCTCATTTTTCCATAATTTCAAATTTTTCCATCGAAAAATAACAACATGAAGAATTTTGGAAATCAGCTTACAAAAACTGAATTATTTGGAAATACAGTCTCACACATTGCAAAGTTTTCCTGGAAAACTAGTGAAGGTAAAAATTTGAAACATTTTGCATGTGAAGAGGAAGGTTAGGAGCTCATTTTCCGAGTCATTTTCCCAAAATTTAAAATTTTTCCAGTGGAAAATAACAACATGACGAATCTTGGAAATCAGCCTACAAAAACTGAATTATTTGAAAGACAGTCTCACGCAATCCAAAGTTTTTCTGGAAAACTAGTAAAGGGAAAAATTTGAAACTTTTTTCATGTAAAGAGGAAAGTTAGGAGCTCATTTTTTCAAAATTTATAAATTTTTCTATTGGAAAATAACAACACGAGAAATCTTGAAAATTAACTTAAAATAACTGAATTATTTGAAAATACAGTTTTACATATTTCAAAGTTTTCCTGGAAAACCAATAGAGGCAAAATTGTGAAACTTTTTGCATGTGAAAAGGAAAGTTAGGAGCTCATTTTTCCAAAATTTCAAATTTTTCCAGTGGAAAATAACATGCAAGATATTGAAAATCAACTTACAATAACTGAATTAATAATTGAGAATACAGTCTCACACATTTCACAGTTTTTCTGGAAAACTAGTAAAGGGAAAAATTTGAAACTTTCTGCATTTAAAGAGGAAAGTTAGAAGCTCATTTAACTATAATTTTATATTTTTTTCAGTAAAAAATAACAACAGGAAGCTTGACTTCTATAGTTTATGAGATGTGTTTATACCTCGGTTTATACATAAACATTGTTTCACGGGGGCTCATACTTTTTGCCTTCCTTTTTTAACAAATAGAAATTGACTGAAACAAATCAATGACGTCAAAAACGTTCATCGGTTCTTGAACCAGAAGTCATTCATTTTAATTTGTCAAAAAAATTTAATGTGTCTTATGAATTAATCTACGAGAAACGAGAACCCTTTTAATTTCAAGTTATGACTTGTTCGATGTCAAAAGTATGAATTTTCGTGAAACGATCTGTACCTTTATTTTGTTAGCAGTTAGAGGTATTTTTATTCACAATCACAAAACACCGAACAGGAACTAAAAAATATTTGAAAGACAAAAATTCTCAAGATTTCTGCTGAAAATTTCCTAATTTCCTATAATAATTTCAGTAAATTTTCTATAATTTCGAATAATTTTCTAACAATTCCTGACATTTCCCAAATTTTCCAAACATTTTCTATAATTTCTGAAAATTAACATAATTTGTGACAATTTACAGGAAGTTTCTGTAATTTCTCAACATTTCCGGAAATTGTTTTGAGATTTGTACACCTATTTCTGACCGTGAGACACCTCTCGGAAATATTAGACCGTTTCCATACATAATTGATTGTCAGCTAATGACAGATTTTGCTGACTGATTTTCTCTCTTCGGGGATTTCAACTATTGAAAATTATGTCAATGCTGAGCACAAAAAATGGAAAATTTATTTTCCTTCTGCAGAAAGAAATAGGTTATTTTTTCAATTTCTCCTTCATGGCATTTTAATACATTAACATTATAGAACAATTTAATAATGAAAAACCAAAGCCATAACGTTTGCACGTACTGAAACGGTTAAAATAAGGGCGCGATCTTGTGGAAGAATATTCGGTTGCTGATCGTTTTCTCGCTTATGGCAATCAACAGAATTAAATTTGATATCGTTAGAAACCAGAAAAAAAATTCCCATAAGCCGGTTAGCTGTTTAAGTATATTTTCCGGCTGCTGCAAAAGGAAAGTAGATTTTCCATATGCCTAGCAGATGTCCGGTCGTTAAATTTTCATTTTTTGAGCTTAGCACTGACATAATTTTCAGTGGTTGAAATCCCCGAAGAGAGAAAATCGGTCAGCAAAATCTGTCATTAGCTGACGGTCTATAATGGAAATCCTGTAAAACTGATTTCCATTCTCTCTCTTATTTTTAGATTTGCATGAAACTTCTTGACAGTGGCGCCGATATCAACATAACCGATAAACGTGGCAGTACGCCCCTGCACAGAGCATCCTCCAAAGGAAATTTGGAAATAATAAAGATTCTGCTAGAACGCGCTAATGATCTGAAGATCAATCACCGCGACGTCTATGGCAATTCCGCCTTGCATTTGGCTTGCGAGGAAGATAGACAAGAAGAGGCGCTTCTTTTGGCCAAAAATGGTGCGGATTATTCGTTGCTGAATAAGGATAAGCAGACACCCTTGGATTTGTGCACTCCTAAATTGGCGAGGTTGTTGAAGGAACTACGCTGCCAGTAGAATTATGACAATGTATTATTATTAAGAGCATTTTTTTTAAAATAAATAAATAAAGAAGCAATTAATGCCAAATCAGGTAGGTACAATTAAAACATGCCTTATTGATTAAATAATAATGAAATTATTGCTGAAAACACTGTTAATATTATTGGATGTCTTGGTCTCTATGACTTTGGTAATCAGGGGCTTCACCAGGTATTACTGACACAAATGAAAAGAAATGCCATATTTAAAAATAATATTTATTTACAATTACAATCTCAAATTTATTGGTTTGAACAATCAACATAATTTAAAATTGGTTGTTTTGTGGTTGAATTCATCACAGAAAATGGAAATTTCTCCATACCATTACAAGCAGCGCCGACATTTCCGTTTTTATCCACTGCAATTACGGCTCCAAAAAAGCTTGGATGTTTTGCAGCCACTCTTGCTATGGCTGTTTGCGCTGCTTCGGTTGGAGTTACACCTTGGCGCATTTGTTCAACAGCCAAAAAACTGTGAGAAAAGAATGATTAATTATACAGGGTGGAATTTCTAACTGGAATAAATTCAGTATTAACTTCTTTATTTGCTGGACAAATTTAAAAAAAAAAACTCTTTATTTTTAGTTTGGCACATTTTTTTCGCCTCTTCATGAAATTTGCCCCTCTCTTAAGGATAGAAAGCGCCCTTAACTTAATTTTTCTCAAATGTGTTGATAGCTTGTTGGAAAAGGTACAAAAAAAAACAATATGACTCTATTTACTTTTGCATTTCGGTAATCTAGAATGTGAAGAGTCAAATTTTCAAAATCACTGACGGATTAGATTGCGCTGAATTCTAAAACAGAATTTTTTGTAACTATTATTTGCTCCAGAGTGGCTTCAGTAATATCATTGTATGTAATATTAACTTATAGATGTTGGGTATTAAAATATTACCTTGGTAAAAATCTCATCATAACATCGCCATCTCCTGTAGCCGTTGCCGCTCCAATTTCGCTGTCAGCATACGCACCTGCTCCAGGAATTGGCGAATCACCAACTCTCCTTTAATAAGAAAAATTTCATTGAAATTTATGATTACTTTTTTTTAGATTCCTCATTCTTGACGCCTACTGTAGGCGGTCAAATATGTAATGAGGAATTTCATTTATTTCCATTTCAAATAAAAACACATCATCGATTCAAATATTAGAAAAGATTTATCCAAATGAGATATAGGAAAAAGAAAAATATATATTTTGTGCTGTTTATAAAAGATGGATTTTTTTTTTGTCCTGGCATTCTGTGCCTTATGGATTTAAAATTTTGTGGCCTTATTCAAGATGTTTAGATTGACATTACACACGAAAATAAATTTCTTACCCAGCAATTTTATGATTGGCCCCATTTGTTGAAGTACCAGCTACGAAGTGGCCTTCATTATTAATCACAATCATTCCGATGGTATCGTGATTGCCAGTATTGAAGACGCTACACTCATCCCGCGGTATCTCATTAGTTAGAGTCGGATCGTGTCTATGATATTGTCCAATGTAGGGCCCACAACTTTTGGTAGGATCCGGTAGAACGTTCTTCCAAAAATTGGGCTGGCAATTCTCCTTTTTCCATGTTTCGTAGAGATTAGTCGAATATTTAGTAGCCAAAGATTCTTCAGGAAAGCCCAATTTGTGTGCGAAATCAGCAGCGAGTGATCCAACCAATAATGAGTGCTGTGTGTTTTCAAGCACCTTTCTAGCTACTCCGATTGCATCTTTTACTTGTCTTATACCACCAACGGCACCCATATCCATTGTGTTACTGCGAATAAATGTTTGTTTTTTTTTTATTACACATTTTTAGTTTCTGTAGAATTAAAATTCGAAAAGCTGGTACCTATCTATTCATGTCAGTCAGAATCTCTAGAAATAAATACGTACCTACCTATGATAAATAGTATATTATTTAACGAGTCAAAATACTATACTTTTATCTACGACTATATTCATTTTATTAAGAAACTATACAGGGTGTTTCAGAAATGGTCTTACAAACTTCAAGGGCAGATAGTATTCATAAAAATAATTTAAAAAGTTCCTATAGATATAGGTCCGGAAACGCTTTGTTTCCAAGATACAGGGTGATACGTTTTTAAAAAAAAAAAAATATATTAATAGCCCAAAAGAGCTTTAGCCGATTTCAATGAAATTTTCACGGTTTATTTCAACCATTATTAGACATCTACTGGCCCAATTAGATTTGATCCAGAATTCCCAGGGGCGTACCCAGCGACCAAAGCGGTTGTTTTTGTGCAGAAAAAAATATCACTCTGTAGTTTTTGTACGATTTTTATTGATTATTCAGACAGACACACTAAAAATACAACATTTTTGTCTCTTAAATTTTTCAATTATCTCGCTTCGTTTTCGCGAAAAAATTACAACACCATACCTCGGCACGTCTCTGGACTCCGTAAGGAAAGATAAAAATTCATAGGAATTAAGGTACATCACCCATTCATTGAGTGACAAGGACATAAGTCCCTTTGAGGTTTTTTTTTTGTTTTGTTTTCATAAATTAACAAACTCCGATAAATTTTTAATCAATTTCTAAGCATTTTTATTTTTTCTTATGGGGTTCAGAGACATGCCGAGGTATGGTATTGTAATTTTTCCGTGAAAACGAAGCGAGATAATTGAAAAATTTGAGAGACCAAAATGTTTTTTTTTTTTTTTTTTTTTTTTAACAATCCTTTATTCAGACAAAATTCAATTTACATTAGAATTCCAAATACTTAATCTAAATTAAAACAATGCGAGCAGCATTGGTACCAAAGGTATTATCTATAGTCGGGGATCAGACTGCCGAAAAGACGTCTCCTACACATCGAACTGTGCACTCGAAGATATACGATTTAAAAAATATGTACAGGGTGGAGAATGACCTTGCGGATCTAAATCCGGAGGGAGGGCTCCATTAAATTCGTAATTGCAAAGTTGAAGATAAATATATGATCAATCGACGAAAAATGTGCCTAAATAAGTGAAGAAGTTTTTGGTGAAAATAAATTTGCACTAGTGGTAACGGTTTCCGAGATACGATTTTTTTTGTGAAACGCCGATGCGCGCCGGCCGCTGCCGTTTCAACGGAGACCTACTCGGTCCGACCTATATACTTCAATAACTCGGTTATTCGGTCACAACCTGTAGGAAATGGAAGAACTATTCAACTATTTATTCCGTTTTAATAATTGTTTCGTTAAAGTACGCAATGGATATGGACGAAATATAGGTAACCGCCTTCTCAAGAATATCGTCATGATTGCCGCTGGAATGGTAGAAAATACATACACTACTTCACTATCTTCAATTTCAATTTATTAACAACAAACTTTAGGTAAAATCTAGTTTTTTATTAATTAAGTCAACATTGCATAATGTTAGCAATACAATGTAACACAAATTTTTGACTTAAGATTCTGTTTAAAAAAAAAACAGACTTTTTAAATTATATGGTATAGGTACCTCAGCAAATACTTCGAAAATTTGCTATTATCCAATAATCCAATACTTGTCAAACCTACAGTAGATACTATCAAATAATAATAGAGTCGGCCGATACCGACATATTTGTTCTGTCTCTCTACTTTATTACAAAGGTTATCCATTCAGGAATTATGGCTACACAAATTTGAAACATACATAATACCTGATGGATTTGAGTAACGAAATAGAATAAGGTCGTTCAATCAAATTTCATTAGCCCGGTTTTTCACATTTTCATGGAGTATTACTCACATATAGCACGTAGAAAAAATTTCAGCTTAATTGGATAAATATTGAAAGAGTTACGCGTTTTTTAATATTAAAACACTTTTGCCTCGGAAATTCATTGCTGTGACGTCATAGCATCTCTCGAGTCGAGACCGGCTAAAGGCCGTCACACACGATTTTACATAACGCAATGTCAACTGATCTTCTACTGACAGTTTGGCATACAGTTTGCGGAACTATGCAATATTTATAATTTTTCGTTTTTTATGCTACTTCCATAATAATTGTGCTCATAAAATATTGAAACTCAGGGAATTATTCAAATATACGAAAGGTGATTCGAAAGAAAAACATCCAGGGGGGCTTTATTTGAAATTGATGCAACTTTGCGTATACGCAAATGACGTTATTTGCGATTGAAAACTGGTGCACGGCTTATTTGAAATGCACTGCGAGCGATATGACTTTGCACCACTCGCAACTTTTGCGCATGGAGGTGTACCAATCGCAAATCTAGCTCGCACACGCAAGTTGTGTTGTCAATTTATTTCGATTTATTTTAATTTTGATGGTTCACTTCAAAGAAGTTCGAATATTGTGGTGATTTTTATAAATAACATATGATTTAATAACGTTATTAACAACAATGGGCTGGCTCGTCTTGAACTAGCGAAGGCTTTTAACGAAAACCTCGCAGTAAGGCCGCGATTTTATGCCTTCGTCCTAAGTGACCGGATATTCGTAAAAAAATTTCGGCTAAATAAAGTTACTTTTGAAGACTTATATGAGGCTGTGCAAAACCACATAATGGAAGATAAATAACTTGATAATTAGTGGACTGTATAATTAGGTGGACTGGATGATCGACTGGATAGGGAACTAAAACACACGCGCTTTTCACTGACACTATATTTACAACAATTTACACAATATTTACACTATTTACAATTACTACTACAAGATGACAAGAAGCCAGAGCTTGCTTAGATGCCCAACAGGGCAGAGCTAGATTATAAAATTTATTAAAATGTGAAAAGGTTTCTGGATGCTTGTTAACGTGGACAAGCTCCAAGCTACACTGCTGCAATGACAAAAATGGCCCGCAATATATTGACAGACATGACAAAATAGACATGACGACAACGCTGCAGTGTTGCAAACTTTATATGTATAAAAATATTTTGCCATCAAAAAGAGATAGCATGATTGTTGGAACATGTTTCCAACATGCTGGGGGGCCTAGAGTTTCACATGAAACCAAGGTAAAATTTTCCAGCAAAAAAAAAATAAAAAAATTAAAGAGAAAGTAAGCAACCCTTTTTTTAAAAAAAGGTATGATTTCAATGATGATCCAGTAAACGAAAACTTAACTAACAATTAAAGCTAAAAACATTTCTGGAACACATAGTATGACATTATGTATGTATATACGAGTATAGCTAATTGAATATAAATATAAATCTAAATGTTTTACAAATATATGTACAGAATTTTGTGAATAATTTTCAAAAATATTATTAACAATTATTGTCATCAATCGGTAACACTGCAATCTTGGTAACCGATCTGAGATAAATACCTTTTTTGGTTTTCACTTCGACAACCCTTACTTTGCCGTCCTTTCCAGGTATTGCTTTAACTATTCTTGCCATTGGCCACTTATAAGAAGGTACATTATCCTCTTTTAAAATGACTAACAAGCCCTCCCTAAGGTTAGGCATCTCATCACGCCATTTTGGCCTATTTTGGAGTTGCGTTAGATAGTCGTGATACCACTTTTTCCAAAAATGCTGCTGCATCTGGACACACAATTTCCAAAACTTAAGTCGACCTTGGGGAATTTCCGTCAAATCAGGGTCAGGAAAGCTTATGATAGGCGCACCTATCAAAAAAATGACCAGGGGTCAAATAGTCCAAATCTGAAGGATCTTGTGACAAGGCTATAAGTGGTCGGGAATTTAAAATTCCTTCTACTTGGACAATAAGAGTATTAAATTGTTCATAGGTAAGCTCATTGCTACCTATGACTCGCTTGATGTGAAATTTTGCCGATTTTACTCCAGCTTCCCATAAACCACCAAAAACTGGAGAATAGCTCGGTATAAAATTAAATGTAATTTTTTCCTGAAGGGAATAATTTTCAATTTTTTCTGTTTCGTTATAAAACTCTTTGATTTTATTCTCGGCTCCTTTAAACGTGGAACCATTGTCGCAGAAAATATTTGCGGGCTTCCCCCTCCGCGAAATAAAACGCTTCAGAGCAGCTAGAAAATTTTCGGTTGTCAGGTCTGAAAGCAGTTCCATATGAATTGCTTTGACTGAAAAGCACACAAAAAGTGCTATGTATGCCTTGGAACTTACGGATTTTCTAATTCGAGATTGCTTAACGAGGAAGGGACCGCAAAAATCTACCCCGACATTATTAATTTTAGTTTTAGTCTCCGATATGCCAGTGATATTCAAAGAACTATTAAAGGCTTTTAATCCTAGCTTTTCAACTAAACTGTTTGTTACTAAACAAATCTGAGAGCCGGTGTCAACCAGACCTCGGGCGTAAATATATTTGCCTTTATTAGATTTAATTTTTACTTTTAAGGTAGGTAAAAGTACAGATTCTTGCTGTGAGGCATTGGAATACATGACTCTGCGTTCAGTAGGAAAATTATTATTTTCACATTGCTTGTCCAAATGCAGCAGGGTATTGTGTTCCTTTTGACACATACCACACCGAAACAACATTTTACACTTTCCAGAATGAATATTCAAACATAATTTACAAAAATTCTGTCTGTCGACAAAAGATATACGATCCTTTACTAGTACGGATTTGAACTTTTTACAATTATACAGTTTATGTCCAGATATTGAACAAAAGGGACATTTTACATTGGTTTGTTTTGTTAATAAACCGTAAACCTTTTCTTTAGTTTTATGCTCTGGGGTACTACTAGTTGCCTCTAAGGCTGTAGCTCTATTTTCTAAATAGGCCAAGAATTCATCCAAAGTCGGCAATTTGGAACTATCACGATCTATTTGATAGGCTCTGTT